ATTACTTTCATTCCCCTCGGATGCCTACACAGTTCATGTTAATCCGCCCCTTTGGCACTCAGCCATATACTCTCTCCTAACTTCCTAACTAGGCGAGAAAGGCAAGGGCCACTGATGTCTTCTATTTTTTTCTGATTTCCCTTTGTATTTATTTTTTTTATTTATTTATTTTTTTATCCTCACCTGAGGACATTTTTCCATTTTTTGCACAGATAGAGTGGGAGGGAGAGAGAGGAAGAGAGAAAGAGAGAGAGAGAGAAACATCGACGTGAAAGGGACACATCGAGTGGCTGCCACCCGCACGACCAACCAGGGCCGGGGACAAACTGCAACCGAGGTACATGCCCTTAGCGGGAACCGAACCCGGGTCTCTCCAGACCGCAGGTCGATGCTCTAACCGCTGAGCCAAACTGGCCAGGGCTTTCCCTTTGTGTTTAGTAGCATCTAATTTATATTGGAAGTGATCAAAAAACTTTTTGAACAAACTATTTTTATAATGCTGCATTTCTGTAAATATTACAGAAATTTTGTTAACTTAGAATTTTTATTTAAAAGAATTCCAGAAAAGAGATTTTATCATATTGGATATAAGATATGAAGGAGGGCTAATAAGATGAAATTTTCAGGGGAAAAAAAGATAGGATATCTATATTTCCCATATTTTGTGGTCATGGATTCTCCTCAAAAGCTTAACTTTTAGTCCAAGTTAACTTTGTGGGACCAAGTAGGGTATGGGTGGGTAAAATTATCAACTTGAAATTACTGCATACTCACAATTTGTTTATTCTGTTGCACATAAAAGAGATGAATACCAGCTAAATTAACAAAATAATTTACTGAGTTACCTCATGGAAGGAAATGGAAGACTGCAGAAACTAGGCTTGGGCATCCCCTAGGGAGTCAAGGTAGAAGAAACTGACAAAGGTCTCTTCAGTGCACTACTATTGGGATCAGTAAACTCCAAATACTTTTCTTTCATTGTTTATAGCATCTCAAGGTTCAGGGTCCTAGGAGAGAGATCCCACTGGCCTTGCTTGGGTCAGGTACCACTCTACAGGTCAAGATCAAGGAACCTTGATTAATAGTCCCACCGAATGTTTACCCACAAGGAAGATTCAAATCCCCCAAAGGGAACTGGGTACCATTATAAAAGGGAGGAAATGAAAACTAGTCTATTTGTGAAGTCACCTTACAGAATATCGAATATCAGAGAAATAGCAAGGGAAAGGTATGTAAGGAATAGAAAAAACTACAGAGAAAGAAAAATGGACAGAAAACAATAAATCACAAAATGATATTTTCTATCATGTTCTATTGATGCTACACGTATCTCAAACTATGAAACAATTGAATGTCAGAAGCTGTTAGCCAGCGCTTTATAAAAACTCATCTTTCTAGGCAGAGTTGTTCTCCCAACTATTTACTGTGAGGATTTTTTTTTTCCTCGCTTGAGGACATTTTCCACTTTTTGTTCAGGTAGAGTGGGAGGGAGAGAGAGGAACAGAGAGAGAAACATCGACGAGAAAGGGACACATCGAGTGGCTGCCACCCGCATGACCTACCAGGGCCGGGGACAAACCTCAACCGAGTTATTTATATGAAGGCATATGGCAGGTGGGGACATGATTTTTGCCCAGTGTTCTGAATGTCAATGTGAAGGTATTTACTGAAGCTTAGATAAATTGATGGGTGTAACTATGACTCTTTTAAAGTAGCCAAATATCTCACCGTCTAATTAGGAATGTGCATGAATGGATGAATGATATTCTTAATACCTTGACCTATTTATTTTCTGATGAAACCACTGCTAAGGCAATGGCTTAGCAAAATCTTTGCACAAAGAAGACTGTTGAACTTGACTATAAACCTGGCATGTGAAGAGCCATACGAGGTGCAGATTAAGTGGGAGGCCCTGCTGGGAGCAGGGAGGTCTGGCTGTGGGCTTGCAAATGTATTGAATCCACATACACTGTCTCAGAACTTAGAAAAAGAAGAAACATTTTCAAATTTTTAAAAAATATTTTGATATCAAAAATGAGGAAAAATAAAAATAGACAAATCTCACTTATGACTTTAAAAATTCCCCCAAGTAGATGGACATAATCAAAATAGTGCATTAACCAAGAGAGATTTAATCCAATAATTCAAGGATAATTTCATAGTAGAAAATACAGATTTTATTACATTAAAAGACATAAGGAGAAAATCATAATCATCTCCCTGATGGAAATGCATTTGATGAAATGTAATAAGCATTCTTTACAATACTCAAAAATAGAAAAAACATGAATATTCTCTTAACTTTGTGAAATAAACCTGTCTAAGCCTCAGAGGCAGCACCATGACATTTGAAAGCATTCCCACTAAAGTTAGAAACTAAACAATGATTCACTCTTATTTAACATTATTCTGAGTGCCCTGCTCAATGCAAAGACAAAAGAAGAAAATTGGGAGTATAAAAGTTCAAAATGAGGTAAAACTATCAGTTTGTAGATGATTATATAACTGTATTGAACTGTGTGTTGTATATACCTAAAAGAATCATCCAAAGATCGACTGCAAATAAGAGAATTTAGTAAGGTAATGGGATCCAAAGTTAACATACAGACATCAACAGACCAATCAAAGAAATAACTCCATTTATAATGTTAGCAAAAAGGATAAAATATCTAAAGATAAAATAAAATAAAAAAATGTTGGGGAAGACTTTAAACACCAAGAACACAAAAGTAGACTTAAACAAATGGAAAAGAACACCATATTCTTAGGTAGGCTCACCATCACAAAAGTACTAATTTTTCTTAAATCAATGCATAAGTTAAATTCAGTCCTTATGAAAACACCATCAGATTGTAGAGCTAGCTGAACTGATTCTGAAAATTATATTAAAAAAGTAAATACACAAGAAGAGCCCAGGAAATACTACAAAGCTGTGTAATGATGGAGAGAGAGAAAGCACTTAACCCCACTAGAACTTAAAATATATTTAAAAGACTTTTTAAAAAGACTTGGTAATGTGGTAATGGTGAGTGAATAGATAGATCAATGGAACAGAACAGAAAATCCAGAAATACACCCATAAATACCCAAGGATTAGATAGGAATTACAAATGGCATTTCACTTATGAAACCCCAAACAACATTCAGAGAATGCTGAGAAATGCACATTAAAACTATAATAGAATACTCTTCTAAAGCCAATAGATTGGCAAAAATCCAAAATATTCACCACACACCAAAATTGCTGGGGATAATATAAAGTGATTCAATCACTTGAAGGCAATTTGGTAATACTAATTAGAACTACAAATATACATACCTTTTGACTCAGCAGTTCTTTGGGGTTTTACCTAACAGAAAAGAATATTTGCAGAAAGTTACGTGTCTATAAGCGGTTATTTACTGCAGCTCTGTTTGTCATCGTTAGTGGCGGGGACTGGGGGAAGAGCTCAGAGAAAGCCCTGCACTGGAACTCAGTGCTGCCGAAAGAAACAAATGGGGACAGTCACTATGTGTTGATGTGCAGGGTCTTCGAGATATTTGTCAAGTGAAAAACTAAAAAAAAAATTTTTATTAAAAAAAAGCTTTTATCAAATAAAAAAAAGCAAGACATACAAATGTATGTAACATGCTCTTTTATGTAAAATAATAGAGGAAAATGTATTTGAGTTTCATGTGCACAGACTCTCGAAGGATATGAAAGAAACAAGAAGCACGTGTTACACAATGAAGATGTGGGGTTAGGCAGGAAATAGGAAGATGAAGGCTGTATCCCTTTATTTTTGTTTTCATTTTTGAACGATGTAAATTTTTTGCCTATTCAGTTAGTAAGTAAATAAACAAGTATATAGTCTTTTGGTGATATACTCTGTGTGTGTGTGTGTGTGTAAAAATGTATATATATTTAAAGAATAAGGATGCTTTCTAGTATTGATAGGAAAAATCTTGAAGGGTGTTAAGTGACTAAGACAGGGTATGGAATGCAATGTACAATATTCTACTTTTTGTGAAAAAAGAGGGAACTCCGCCCTGGCTGGTTTGGCTCAGTGGTTAGCACGTCAGCCTGTGGTCCAGAGACACCGGGTTCGGTTCCCACTAAGGGCGCGTACCTCGGTTGCAGTTTGTCCCCGGCCCTGGTTGGTCAGGCGGGTGGCAGCCACTCGATGTGTCCCGTTCACGTCGATGTTTCTCTCTCTCTCTTCCTCTCTCTCCCTCCCACTCTGTCTGTACAAAAAAATGGAAAATGTCCTCGGGTGAGGATTAAAAAAAAAGAGGGAACTCCAAGGCGATTTGCTTGGCTTGCTTGCGTGTGCATGACGCAGCCCAGGAAGGGCGCTGAACGTGGTGAGCCCTGTGGTGCTTCCAGTTCCCGCCAGATGCCCTTCGGAAGGCAGGATTCCCCAGCTGCCCAGCAATGCTGGCCCATGGCCGTCAGCTAAGCCCTGCGGGATCCATTGCCTCTCTTGAGCCCCTCTCCTGGGTGGTCCTTACCCAGGGAATGATCCACATGGGCCGGCACCCAAGTTGGGCAACCTAAAGGGTCACCCCAGTTTGGGAAATTTCCTTCCCTCATGCCCCATGGCAGTTTAGCTTCTCCTTCTGCTTTCTATTCCCTTTCATGGGAAGAGAACGCTCCTAATAAACCTGTTCTTGCCAAGAGTCTGCTTCCTGGCGAACCCAAAGTGTAACAAGAAACCCAAGTTGTGGCTGGGGAAGGCTGGGAATGTGGTGAATAGGGACAAGATTGGGTAGGAGACTTTTCACTCTATGCATTTTTATAATTAAAAAATTTTTTTTGAGCCATGGGAATGTATTTCTTATTTAAATTATAAGTAAAAAATTTAAAGTTAACTTGACATGCCAGTGATATTTTATGCTTTTTCATGTGTATTTTTCAAAAATGTTTTCTATGTTTTGATTTAGAAGATATTTAAAATCCAAAGTACTCTGCCCCACCACACTCTAAATATGCTTTTCTTTTCTGTTTGTTTTTGTTGAAGACCTACAGAGAAACACCCCCTTGATCTCCCCTGACAATGGAGGCGAAGAGGTCACCTGATGGCGGATGGGGCTGGGTGATTGTGCTTGTCTCCTTCTTCACTCAGTTTCTGTGCTATGGATCCCCGGTGGCCGTTGGAGTCTTGTACATAGAATGGCTGGATGCCTTTGGTGAAGGCAAAGGGAAAACGGCCTGGGTCGGATCCCTGGCAAGTGGAGTTGGCTTGCTTGCAAGTAAGTGGATAAATGTATGCTTCTCCTCACTCATTAATCATTCACTTACTTTGGCTGCGTCATTAACACTGTGCAAGGCATAGTAACTGTTTGTTTTTAAAGTATTACACATACTTTCTTGCCTTCATTGCAATTACAGAACTGCTCTTTCACTGTAATAAATTTGTGTGAAAATACAGAAATTCCATAAGATGTTCCTTCATTCATTCGTTCGTTCATTTCCTTAGTCATTTATTTGCTACTGTGTGCTAGGCAGTGTGCCAGATGATGAATATGAAAAGATAACAGCAAACACATCATTTCTGGCTTTAAGAGGCTCACAGTCCAGTGACAGACACAATTCCATGAGTAAGGATACAGGGAAATGAGGGCAGTGATTCAGGTATGTCCACTGAAGGCTGGTGACCAAGGGACCAAATGATATGCAGCAGTCCTGTAAGAAATTCTTATGTGATTTATAATTACGCCTCTCGGATTCAGATACACTGTGATCAAATCATATGTCCTACATTTGTGTCACCTTTATAAGAAAAATTTTACATGGCAGTCCCATCTTACGATGAAGATGCTGTTAAGGACTTTAATATAGTGTTATTTATAGGATGTATGTGATGTATTTTGTGTGACCTTCCTATAATGTCTCCAAAACTAATATTCTTGATAAATGTTTATAGCTAATACAATAGTGATTCCTGTCATCTTTACACAGAAAATAGCAGAGCAGTTTTTATTTTCATTTTAAGACTTAAAATCATATGACACTTCAATTTCTGGAGTAATAGTTCGAACTCTGTGGTAATATTTAGTGATTATCACTCTAACTTTGTTGGCACATCTTACAGGTGTGTTAAACTGGTGACCTAGATTAGGTCATTAGCCCTGGGGTCTCTTCCCCTGTGCTCTGAACTTGACATGATTTGTTGAGCAAATTACAATCTCTACTCTTATGGAGAAAATAAAGGCCATTGCATGTGGAGATTTGTAAGGTATTTTTCAGCTTTAAAAAATTGCATGAAAACAAAATGCATTAGCCGTTTCTTTTTTAAAATGTTGTCTTACCTAAGTCCTAGAGGGGACTTCTTAGAACAAAACAAGAACAGTTGCTTCCAATTGATACTAAATTAAAACCAACACTTGATCCTAATAATTATGTACAGTGAGTGACAGATGGTTACTAGACTTTTTGAGAGGATCACTTAGTAAGTTATATAATGTTGAATTACTGTTATACACCTGAAACTAATATAATATTGCATGCCATCTATAATGAAAAAGAAAGTAAAGATAAATACATCCAATTTAAAAGCAAAACAATAACAAGACTTGGACAATAATGCTACATCATCTGGCCATGTCAAATAAGATGTCTAAACATATCCAAACAAATGAAAATTATATTATCATTATGAGTGCAAGATAAACAGTAAAAGTTTGCCCAAGATTTGTTTGAAAGGATTTTCACCACCCTGACTTTGCACGATGTTGTCCAAAGGGGTTTTTCAAAATATGAATTATTTGTAAAACTGCGAAGTACAAGTGAATGATAATTGATATGTTAATAAAGGGGGTTAAAAGTATTGATTTTGAGGAAGTGATCTAATGTGTAGGGGAGAGAATTTTTTAATGTTCTCCAACTAGTCACCATATCTATTAGCAAATAAAAGTTAAACAGAAATGTAATTACCTTGGTGACCAGAGCTGAGGCTGAAACTCTAGAAACTGAACTGTAGCTCTCTTCTTTCTCTAGGAGAGATCACTCTGTCTCAAGAGCAGGAGCAGCTTCCTTTAACTGTAGGCAGGATCAGCTGTATAACTTCCAACCCCAGTGAAAAATGAAAATGCAGGGCCCCTTATTAAAAAAAAAAAAGAATTCAGATAGCAACAGCAGAACAGCAAATCAAGTGTGTGGCCCTGCGAAGAGCTAAGTACTCAGTGACTGCATAGATAGCAAGCCCATGGAGCCAGCCCGGCCTGAGGCTGGAGATACGGGGCATCCCACCCAAGTTCAGAGGAGACAAGTATTGGGGTGGGGCACTGGTCTTAAGTCAGAGACTAATTCAAGTCCTGGCTCTACCACTGTTTAGCTGAGGGATCTTGTGCAAGTCACTTAACTTTCATGTCACCAATCAGACAAAGAAGCACTTGGGCCAGCTAATTAGAGCTTTTGAAGATGAGCATAGAAAGAGACCAAAGGATTCAAGGATGAGGAAATGGTGGGAAATGAAGGGCTACCACTCATATGTATGTGTGTGTGTGTGCACTTGGTTGGTGTCCATTGAACATATGTGATGTTGGCTTCCCTTGACTCTTCATAGCATACATTAAAGGACCAATCTTGAAAACTATGCTAATATAGTATTAGCAAGAGGTGTCTACAAGTGTGTGAACCATACTAACTCTTTACTTTGTTGAAAAGTTTGTTCTACAGAGAACAAACAGATCACTCCTTGGACATGGGAAAGGTATCTCATGTTGGTGATGCAAATGGTTGTCATGGTTCTTAACCAAGGGGGTAATTAGAATCACCCACAGACAATTTTCATCATATAATCGCCTAGATGTGATCATTAAGCATCCTACATCAGTCAGTCTATGATGGGGCCCAAATATATGAATTTTTTTAAAAGCTCCACAAGTGATTTTCAGTTGGGAACTATGATTGGTTTAAGCCCTCTCTATTTAGACTTTAATACTGTGGTTTTTGATAATTTATAAAAGGAGCTACTGTATGTTTCTGTTTGGGTGTGGCACTCACTGCTTATGCCACGTAAATCATGAAAAATAAATTGTGTCCAGTGGTCTTGGTTTTGGCGGGGCTTTGTTAAAAAACACGTGTAAATGGACATTTTTGTATCCTTTAAAATAAAAAATAATTTATGTGTATATGTGCATATTTATATATATACATCTTTTTGATAAAAGATGGGCTTTACATATGTATGTAAAATACAGATAGCTGCTCTTACATTCAGGAGTACGTATGCATTACTTGAGCTTGTCTAAAAAGCCAGCTTCCTGCCCATCAGTGAGGGGTGTGCCGATGAGGGTGGGTCCGGAACTATTCTTTTAACTAGTTCCCGAGATGATTCTGATACAGGCAGGCCGTATCATATCTGAGAAAAAATGAGTTATTTTCTTTCCTCAGTTTTGTCCAGAGAAGGCCTGGTAGGTGTCATCTCTGACTAGTTCTGTGAAGTGACCCCTGGAACTTTATAATTGAGCAAGATACAGCAAAATAGGGACAGTTGCTCATATGCTTGTCCCTTAAGTTCAGGGAGTGCCCTGTGTGCCTGACTCAGTCCAGCCACTTTCACTTACTTGATCTTAGTTGATCCTAAAAACAGTGCACTGAGACAGACATTATTGTCCTCAAGGGACAATGACCTACCCAAGCTGAAGCCGATTATCTAAGAGGAAGTGCAAGTCACTCTCTAACCTGTTGAGCCTGTTTCTTCCCTTTTAAATGGGAGATAACAAAAGTACCTACCTTATATCATTGTCATGGTGCTTGGCAGATAGTAAATGCTCAACAAATATTGGTTAGTAGAGAACCAGGATCACCCAATAATCAAATTACTTTTCTACGCAGTTCCAAGTAATCTACAAAAGAAAGGGTCCCTTCAGGATGAATGACAAAGACATTTCTAGGGAGGGCAGGACGGAGAGCTGGATTTTTGTCAAGATTGTATCTAAGCGTCTGGAACTTAAAGGCCCACAACTTGTCTCTGACAAACCTAGATTTGGACAGTAGCTCAGAGTAGCATATTAGAACAATGACAAGTCATGCGATTCCTAACTTTACATTCTTCATCATCTTAATTCCTCCCCTTTGAAGCTTGAGTAATTGAGGAGAAAATACTTCTTCCTCTGGCCTGAATTGTTTGTTAGTGCATATGATCCTTGGGATGCCTGAGTATCAAGGAGCCGACCTCTCTCAGTTTACACTGAGAACAAGCTCACTCACCATCATTACACCCACCCCATAGAGCCTCCTCTTCTTTGTGCTAGAAGACATCATCTGTGCTTTTATGGGATTTGTAGTCTCAGGGAAGAGACAGAAAAAAAGGTTACTGATCATTTCAGATGTGCCAAATATCAAGGAGAATAGCAGGGACAAGACTGTCTTTGGAGTTTTATAGAGATAGGTGGGCCACATGGGAGGATGGACCGTGTAAGCTGGATGGTCAGGGAGAGGGCAGGCCATGCAGAGGCCTCGTACGCAAAGGCCTGAAGTCTGCACTGCAGATGACGCATTCTGGTTGCATAAATTTGTCTGGAGAAGGAGTGATTGTGACCTGGGAGGCATGTGATGGTAAGTGTCAACTTGGCTAGGCTACTTTCCCCAGTTATTTAAACGCTAATGTAGGTGTTGCTGTGAAGGTATTTTGTAGGTGTGCTCAAACTCCATAATCGGTTGAGTTTTAAGGAAGGATGATTATCCTAAATAGTCTGGGTAGACCCGATTCAATCTATTGAAAGGCCTTAACAGAAGAGATGAGATTTTGCAGGCTAAGAAATACTGCCTGTGGTCTGTAGCTTTAGCCTGTACCAAGGAGTTCTGACCTGCCCTTCCTTGCCTAGCCAAATCCCACAATCACACAGTAAATTCCTCATGATAAATCTTTCAATATACAGGGTTGGTTTACAGTTGTAAGTATGCGAAACACAGTTTATTCTTGTATTGTTATTTATTAATTATTGTATTATTTTCCATACAAATGACTGTAAACCTATTTTTGTCCTACCCTGTATGTCTTCTGGTTCTGTTTCTCTGGCTGAAACCCAAATGATGCAGAAGGAATGAAAGGTAACTGAAGTTGTTCAAGAAGGGTGGGACAATTTTTCAGACAACACAGTTGCTGAAACAGCAGGGAGAAGACCTTTTGTTTCTCCAAAGGCCCTCAAACTGCTAATGAGTCAGTAAATCTATCCCTAGGTTAATTTAGTGAGTCAGTATGGCCTACAGTCTTGCTGCATGAGTTGTGAGTGCTGGCAGAGCTGGGTGTGGTCATATCTGCAGATTTTACTCCCAAGCACTGTTACCTCTTTCAAGCAGGACTGAACTTCTGCCTCCTCCAAGGCCAGTTCACAGTGACCCAGGCAGTTCCAGGATTGGTGAGAAGAAAGGCAGGTTTTAGTTAAGCTTCCCTCCATCTCTACATGATCCTGCCAAACCAACCAGCAAGCAAGGCAGTTAATTCTACACATGAAATCAAGGATTTGAGTGGGTGCGGCTCCTTGGGACCTTTCTTTTCTTCAGGAAGATGATGAATTTTAAATTCCTGGTTTCAGCAGGAGGAATCTTCTCTTCTGTTGGGCTTCCTGCATTATAAGTGGAGGAGTAGGACTCTTCGTGGGCCCAGTCTGCTCTGCTAGGGAATCCTTGTTCCACTGTCATCACACAACCTGGTTACTGCTATATTTTATGTCTCACTGTACCATCAGCCTACTTATGGCTTCAGTGTGGCAGGCCTGGCCAGCCTACCACTTGGGGCACTCTGAAAGTTTTGGGAAGTAAAAAGGGCACAGAAATTAGTTTATTTTTCAAAGGGAATAATTTCCCCCCCAAAGCTATCTAATAATAATTACAGATTGGAAAACCACATTAGGGTTCTGTTCCCCCCATTAGGATGTATTTTCACTCCTTTTGTTGACATAACCATACCTCATGGCCCGGTTCAAGGCTCAGTTCCTTGGCCTATGGTGATCTCCCTTTTCTGAAAACCTAAAACACACGATCTGGACCTTTTCTGGGGTGCTTATTGCCCATGGCATTAGATTTTGATATGTGTTTGCTTTGTCTTCTGGTCTAAGCTCTGGATCAGACAAAGGATGTCAGGTCTTCCAGTCATGTTCCTGGACATTAATAACAATCAGAAGGATAAATGAAGAAAACAGTCCCATTCACAATTACATTAAAAAAAATAAAATACCTAGGAATAAACCAAGGACATGAAAGAACTTTACCCTAAAAACTATAAGACATTGAAGAAAGAAATTGAATAGGACACAGACAAATGAAGGAATACACCATGCTTATGGATTGGAAGAATTAATCTGGTTAAAATGACCACACTTCCCCAAACAATTTACAGATTAAATGTAATTCCTATCAAACTACTAATGTCATTCTTCTGAGAACGGGAACATATAATCCTAAAATTTACATGGAACTACAAAAGACCCCAAATAGCTAACACAATCTTGAGAAAGAAGAACAAAGTTGGAGGTATCATGTTTCCTGATTTCAAACTATACTACAAAGTTACAATAATAAAAACAGCATGGTACTGGCCCAAAAACAGATAGAGCCCAGAAATAAACCTTGCTTATATGGTCAACCAATCTATGACAAAGGAGGTAAAAATATACACTGGAGTAATGACAGTCTCTTCAACAAGTGGTGTTGGGAAACCTGAACAGATACATGCAAAAAAAGAAAACTGGACCATTCTCTTACTCCATATACAAAATTAGCTCAAATTGGGTTAAGGACTTAAATGTAAGGCTTAAAATCATAAAATTTCTAAAAGAGAATAGGAAGTAAACTATCTAACATCAGTCTAAGTAGTATCTTTTTGGACATGTCCCCTTGAGCAAGGGAAACAAAAGAAAAAAATAAACAAATGGGACTATCAAATTTAAAAGCTTATACACAACAAAGGAAACCTTCAACAAAACAAAAAGACAATCTTACTGACTAGGACAATGTATTCCAAAGGAAATATATTCAATAAGGGGTTGATACCCAAAATATATAAAAAGCTCATATAACTCAATAACAAAAAAATAAACAATCTGATAAAAATAATGGGCAGAGGACATTAAAAGACACTTCTCTAAAGAAGACATATAGCCCTGGCCGGTTTGGCTCAGCAGTTGGAGCGTTGGCCTGCAGACCAGAGAGTCCTGGGTTCGGTTCCCACTAGGGGCATGTGCCCCCCCCCCCCAAAAAAAGACATATAGACAGCCAATAGACATATGAAAAGATGCCCAACATCACTAATCATCAAGGACATGCTAATCAAAACCACAATGAGACATCACCTCACACCAGTCAGATGGCTGTTATCAAAAAGTCAATAAATAATGTGTTGGTGAGGGTGTGGAGAAAAGGGGACCCTTGTGCACTATTGGTAGGACTGCAAACTGGTGCAGCCCCTGTGGAAAACTGTGGTGATCCCTCTATAACTGAAAATTGATATCTAACCTAAAATGGAAGGGGTCAGTTCATGACCAGGGAGGAATGTGAGAGAGCCACAGGTATCGAGAGCTATGTGCTATCTCAGTGGTCATAACCTGGTCTTAAATATGCACTTAAGTGATTCTCGGGTACAGCAGTTCCCCCTTATCCATGGTGGATACATTCCAAGACTCCCATTGGAGGCCTGAAACCGCAGATAGTATCAAAACCTATATATACTATGGCATTTTCTATACATTCATACCTATGATAAAGTTTAACTTATAAATTAGACACAGTGAAAGACAGCAATAATGAAATAGAGAATGTATAACAATATTCTGTAATAAAAGGTATGTGGATGGCTTTGGGGCCATTATTAAGAAAATAGTGGTTACTTGAACACAAGTACTGCGATACTGAGACAGTCACTCTGATAACCAAGATGGTCATTAAGTGACTAACCGAAGAACAGCATGTACAGTGTGGATATACGGGACAAAGGGTTGATTCAGCTTCTGGGTGGGACAAAGTGGGATGGCCAGAGATTTCATTATGTTATGCAGAATATCATGCAGTTTAAATTTATAAATTGTTTATTTCTGCAATCTTCTATTTAATGTTTGCCAACTATGGTTGATGGAGAGTAACTGAAACTGTGGGAAGGAAAACCGTGGATGAGGGTGACTGCTATAATTGTCAAGAATGCTGGGCTTGGGGTCATAGGATTATGGCTCTACCACTTACTCTCAATAAGACTATGGGTGGATTGTATCATTTTTCCATTTGCTGTTTCTTAAAACATTTTTTTTTTTTTTTATCCTCACCCGAGGATATTTTTCCATTTTTTGTACAGATAGAGTGGGAGGGAGAGAGAGAGGAAGGAAGAGAGAGAGAGAAACATCGACGTGAAGGGACACATCGAGTGGCTGCCACCCGCACGACCAACCAGGGCCGGGGACAAGCTGCAACCGAAGTACGTGCCCTTAGCGGGAACCGAACCCGGGTCTCTCCAGACCGCAGGCCGACACTCTAACCGCTGAGCCAAACTGGCCAGGGCCTTAAAACATTTTTTATTGAAGTAAAAGATATATATATAGAAAAGTATATATATCATGAGAGTATAGCCCAATGAAATTTTCACAATCTGAACACACCCATGAAGTGAGCACATTTACATCAAGAAACAGAACACTGGCCCTGGCCGGTTTGGCTCAGCGGTTAGAGCGTCCACTAATTCTCATTGCCATAAAATAGTCCATTGTATGAATATACCAGAGTTTACTTATACATTCTATTGCTGATGAAAATCTGGGTTTCTAGGTTTTGGCTACTTTGAATAGTTCTGCTGTGAGCATTTATGCATGTAACTTTTGATGTAGGTATTTCTATTGGGTTATCTGTTGGTTTCTATTTGATGTATACATGGAAGTAGAACTTCTGGGTTGTACAGTGTGCTGTGTTCAGCTTTTGGAGATAACGCCAGCAGTTTGTAAGAGTTCTGATGGCTCCACATTCTTGCTAACACGATGATCTGTTGTTAGCCAGCCGGTAAGTATGCTTTTTAAAAATTGGAGCTAATAATTTGTATCTTATTGTTGAAAGGTTGTTGTCAATACAATTAAGATATACTTTTCTTTGCTTCCAAATATTGAGCTATTTCTTCTACCACGGGCTTGGACAACCTCTGAGCTTTAGTTTCCTTCCATGTAAATGAAACTATTGGGCTGAATAACCCTTAATCGCCTTTTCTTTCAAATATGCTAAGCTCTGTAGTTGTAGGTACTTTCCAGGCACAGTGCTAGTGGGACAGAATTTCAGTAGCATTTAAATGCTATTACATAAGAAGGTGCCCACCTATACATAGAGCCAGTCCACGTAATGGTCACTTTTGCCTGTCAGTCAACGGTACGCTTCCTTCCCCAGATTTCAGGTTGTACAGGGAGTATGGGACAGTGGTAGAGACAGACCTATACCTGGATGGTGGGTGCTTTTCCATTTGGCCCTACCTGCCAGAATATTCTCGAGGAAGAGAACAACTACCTCTCTTCCACCTCTTCCCTCTACAGAGTCGCTATTATTTGTATTTAGTCAATCAACACATCTATTTTTATCACTAATTATATGATTGGCCTTGTGCTGGACAGGAGCTCTGGATAGGAAAGGTGCATGGGACATGCAGGGGACAAAAATCCTTAGAATATGAGGGTGGGCTCCGGAGTCAGACAGCTGGGTGTTCGCTCTGTTACTATTCTGGTGGCAGCTGTGGCATCATTGCAGAATGAGCTCTGGTTGGACCCTCACTTGGGCCAGGCCTTGTGATCAGCTTTACATCTGTGCTCTTATTTGTCCTCACAGTAACACCATGAGGGGGCTGCTGTTATTAGTCCAATTTCAGATGAAAAAACTGAGGCACAAAGAGGTCAAACTAATTGCCTGAGATCAAAGAGCCAGCAAGTAGTAGCAGAGCCCAAATTTGAAGAAAGTCGGACTCCAGAACCCCCACTTCTTAACTACATGTCCTCACTATCCTGAAGCTTTAATTTTCTTATGAAAAAAAAAAGAGGATAGCAATAGTGTCTACCTCCCAGGGTTGCAGGAAGATGGAAATGAAATGAAGTTTTTTATGTGAAGTTCATAGTGTCCATCATAAATACACAGTTAATGTTTATTATTATTTTCGTGTTGTTATTTTATGATAGCGTCATTTTAAACTTACGAGGTGATGGAGCATATGATTGTGGAAAGGAAATTACTGTGAAATAAGTGAAGGTTTTATTTATTTTTATAGGTCCTATCTGCAGCCTGTGTGTCTCATCTTTTGGAGCAAGACCCGTGACCATCTTCAGTGGCTTCATGGTGGCTGGAGGCCTAATGTTGAGTGGTTTTGCCCCTAATATCTACTTTCTGTTTTTTTCCTATGGCATTGTTGTAGGTAAGAAACCTGATCACTGTACCTTTTCTAAGCTTCAGTGGTGAAGCACAATTTTACCAATGTTAGCCGCGTTACTTAGTTAACATAAGAAGAGCAAGTGTTCAGTAATAATTTACTTTCAACGGTCACTTCACCAAAAATTGTTGCTTCAGTAAAATGTCCACCAGTGAATCAAATGATTTGAAAGGATAAATTGTTTTAACAGTGTTTTCTCTCAAGGCGTGGAAAGGTGTTTCATTTCAGCACACAAAAGGAAAAAAGGGAGGGCGGGGTATGAGCCTCGTGTGTGACGGACACCTGTCACTTCTCATGACTTAGGAAGTGATCCTTCTCATACTGGTCAGTTCAGCAGGGCTGTGTTGAGTTTTTTGTGTTCTCAACATCCTGCTGTTTCACACCATCTGTCGCCAGGACCCCATCACAGAGTCACGGGAGAAGCAAAGAGTAGACTGTAAAGCACATACTTTTTTTTTTTTACTTTTTTTAAGATAATGCATGATTGAAGGAAATGGAGTGGTGGTGAGGATTGGTGGTGATCTTGGTTATTACAGGCGAGGAAAAGCAGAGGGCTCTGGGCTGGAGAGGTTTTGTGTGTTGTTTTTTTTTTTTGCGGGGGGTGATGCTTTTGTGATGTGCTCTTCTAATTGTGTTCAATGTTAAGTGTCTTAAAAAAATGTTTTTTTCTCTATTGATTTTAGAGAGAGAGGAAGGGAGAGGGAGAGAGAAATGTCACCAGGTGCAGTATTTGTAGCAGCTGCTGGTAGGGAATTTGAAAAAGACTTCAACTTTCAAAGTTTTTTCTTAGTGTCTGAAAGAAACTAATTTATTGTCTACCAATACTCCTCTCTTTTATTTGAGACATTTTCCCCAACAATAAATAATAGGAAATATAGCAGCTAGTATTCACTCAGTGCTTATTCGCTCAGTGCTTATTGTGTGCCAGGGTCTCTTGATCTGATCTCATTTAAACTTCACAAGAACCTGCTTTGCAGAGGGGGAAGGTGGAGTTCGGCGAAGTGCAGTGACCAACTAAAGCGACATAGCGAGGATGCTTGGGGTTGGACCCACCGTCGGACGTGACATCCTGACCCTTGCACATTTTTATAATTATTTTTAGTGCTTTTAGCAATCAAAGTTTATTTTAAATTTAACTGTGTGCCCTAATACTACTCAGATATTAATCTAAATAGGCAGGTCACTTGTTAGTTCTTTGAGAGCCCATAGTATATGTTTAATATTTTATATTCCCTATAGAGCTTAATACAGTTTCAAACCTGTAGCTACAAATATATTGAATGATCATTCTGCATTCTTGTCTGAAATAATAAAAATAAAAATGTAGATATCTGTGTTGAGCATGTAAGGGGTTATTCCTTTTAGAACATAGGGAAAATTATTTCTTTTAGGACAAAATTTCTTTTGGGATTATTCTTGTTGCACAGAAAATCAAATCATTATGCCATTGATAGGATTTGGGTATTTTCCCCAAACTCTGGACTGACTATTTAAAATTTCAGAGGGTTTTACTCCTCGTACTCATGGTTTCTAGAGAAAGCCTTTATGAGTACATATCCCAAGTTCTCACTGACCTTAAAACTAACAAAAGTGAGTGATAGCACCACGTTTGCATCACCTACAGATAAAAATGGATTTTTTAAAAGAAAAAAATTGGCTGGCATTGTCTAAGATTTATATACATTTGATCGTGTCAGAAGAATATCTAGGGATACATAGAAAGAAAAAGGCAAAATTAACTAACTCCCATAATTAAATTTTATTTTATTTTATGTTTTGTTCAGATGGAGTGGGAGGGGGAGAGAGGAACAGAGAGAGAGAGAGAGAGAGAGAGAAACATCGATGTGAAAGGGACACATCGAGTGGTCGCCACCCGCACAACCAACCAGGGCCAGGGACAAACTGCATCCGAGGTACATGCCCTTAGCGGGAACTGAACCCGGGCCTCTCCGGACCGCAGGTCGATGCTCCAACCGCTGAGCCAAACCGGCCAGGGAATAAATTTTAAAATTTCTGTAGCAACGGAGAGAGCTTTACCAACTTGTGAAATGGGTTTCGCTTTGGCTCATAGTATTGGAACTTTCACTAGCTACCCTTGTTTCCCCTCCCCTGTGAACACATGGTCTTCAATTAACTAGATATTGGTCTTGATTTACTCTTTGGCTGCTGGTGGTAGTGACGGTGGAGTTACAGAGCTTCCACTTGGCTTTTCCCACTACGGTAACTCTTACGCAAGAAATAGTATGTAGGGAGTTATACTGACTAACATGTATGTGTACTCCAATTAAACATCGGCAGCTGGGGAAATGACTGTTGGATGGTCAATGGACTCAGTGGACCCAGTGTGAGCCAGACCTGCTCCTGCCACATGACCCCACTGTAAGGGCTCACCACAGCAATGCCTTAGGTTCGTGGTTAACAGTGTCAGCTTGTACCCAGTGTCCAACAATGCTCAAATCCACCCACCTACCCCAGTCAGTGAATACCGCTGTGGTTCTCTTTGGGTAAAGAGTCAGGGTACAATTACCTACTTGCCATCGTGTTTGTTGCACTGTCCTGGAATCCCAGCCTCCCCTTCAGTGAATGGATTCTGATCAGAAAACAGGCTCAGGTCTGGAGAGTACACATGACTCTGATTTGGCAATGGGTTTTGAATTCATGCAACTAGGAGGGAATTGTGAGCTTCTGGCGAGACAAATGGGCTTTGGGTCAGGAAATGTAGGTTCCGTGAGCTAAAGCAAGCCCCTCTGCACACAGGTGACTGTCCCATCGTCTGAGAAGGCAGGCTTAGCAACCTAACCCATATAGGTCTTGTGGGGACGACATGAAGCCACGCAAAATATAGACAAACATAAAATAAAGAAAAGATTTGAGTTGGATTTCAATTAATTTTTAAAAATCACTCACTCCAGTCATTAGTGGGGCCCTGTGAGCTACTCCTTGCTTGCAGATTATTAATAGTATTCCATGGTTGATTTTTTTGTGTGTGTGGTTTTATTTCATTAGGAGGCTAACAATATAGGGCTCATAGAATATTCGTGAAGTAAATACATGGCATAATAATGAATAATGACACTTCCATTCTGTCACCATTTGTAGTAGAGTTGAAAAGGAAATGACAGGAAATTATTACACAGTGTAAACTCATTCTCCTTGCTGTATGAGTTCCTTAGGAAAAAAACACAAAAGATTCAGTCTAATGATAACATTCATTGAGCACCAGCTCTGTGTACAATCGTATTCTAAGCATTTTCATTTGTCAGGAATGAATTAAATGGGCTCTTAAGACAGACAGAATGGCTCGGGGAAGGAGCCACTAACAAGTAGCTCTAGGATCAGACCATGTCGGCCAACCTTCTTAATCCACCTGCCAGCGAGTGACTCCAGACAATTTACTTGCCTTGTTTTCTCATTTTTAAAAGTGAGCATAATAATAGCATCTAAACTATAGGGTTGTTGAGATCATGCAATAAATATTAGCTAGCATACGCCATTGTTATTAGTTTTATGACCTTGGAAAATTATTTAATCTCTCTGGCTTCTATTTTTATTTTTTATAAAATGGGACTAATATAAGTTCAGAGATATTGTGACTAGTCATGAGATAATGTGTATAGAGAAGCGCACAGAAGTATTTTTTTTTTTTTTATCCCCACCCGAGGACATTTTCTCCATTTTTTGTTCAGATAGAGTGGGAGGGAGGGAGAGAGAGAAACATCGATGTGAAAAGGACACATCAAGTGGCTGCCACCCGCACAAACAAACTGCAACGGAGGTACGTGCCCTTAGCGGGAACCGAACCTGGGTCTCTCCGGACCGCAGGCCGACGCTCTAACCGCTGAGCCAAACTGGGCGCACAGAGGTATTTAACACACATTTGTTCCCTTCTCCTTGAATTGTTTCTGAACTCTTAGTTCGGGAACACAGCAGCAGTGTTTTCCTACTCAAGAAGCTCTGTTGAATCAGAAATATTTATTTAGTAGATAGAAGAATATAGAAAAGTAAACTAAAGCTATATATTTAATTATGATATACAAGATTAAAAGAATACTGAAGTATGTTAATTGGCATAATTCTGTTTTACTATTTAATCAATATTTAAAAAAATAACATCTTGAACATGTGATGTTATCTTGTTGTTTTTGTAGCTAAAAGAAATGGTAGCTTGCCAGTCTTTCAAGTGACTATAAACCATGCTGCCAAACCTGGTAATTCAGGCTCCTATTTTCTCAATAACTTTCCTGAATCAGAAGAAGAAAGTGTGGTGAAGGCCGGACTGGGTGAGGAGAGGGGGTGCAGGACACACACCCTTATTGAATTGCTCAAGCTTCTTCCCAATGATTTCTCTTTGCTTTTCTGAAAAGTACAGCTCACAGTCAATGTCTTGCCGTCTCTTCCTTCATAATATATTGTTATTTAGCTACCTGATTACTGTTAATATTCTCTTCTTGATTTTTGGAAAAATGTAATTTTCTAATCCTTCATTTTTTGCATAGGCCACTGAGCCTTGGGGAGGGGGGAAGCACATTAATAGAAAATCTGATTCTCCTACTCTATTTCTAGCAATTGAGATAAAGGTCATTTCCTATATATTTGCTTTAGCAATTAGAGTTTTATAAGCCATTTAAAAAAAAAAACAAAAAACTTTATTGTTGAATGTATTACAGATGTTCCTTATTTTTCCCCCATTGACTCCCTCCTCCCCACTCCCACCCCCCTCCCGCCTTTTCCCACACTATTGTCTGTGTCCATTGGTTATGCATATACGTTCTTTGGTTTATTTCTTCCCACCCACCCCCAAACCCTTTCCCTTTGAGGTTTGTCAGTCTAGCAATGAATTTGTACTTCTTAATCCCTTCACCTTTTTCACCCATTCCCCCAAACCTGCCTCCCTTCTGGCAACCAACAAAATGTTCTCTGTATCTATGAGAATGTTTCTGTTCTGCCTGTTCATTTTGTTTGTAGATTTCTTTGTTGATAGATATATGTTCAATGCCATTTTGTTTGTTCATATATTTTATCTTTTTCTTCAAAAAGACCCTTTAACATTTCATATAATAATGGATTGGTGGTGATGAACTCCTTTAACTTTTTCTTGTCTGGGAAACTCTTTATATGGCCATCAATTCTAAATGACAGCTTTGCAGGATAGAGTAATCTTGGTTGTAGGTTCTTGCTTTTCATCACTCTGAATATTTCTTGCCACTCCCTTCTGGCCTGCAAAGTTTCTTTTGAGAAATCAGCTGACAGCCTTATGGGAACTCCCTTGTAGGTAACTAACTGCTTTTCTCTTGCTGCTTTTAAGATTCTCTCTTTGTCTTAAACCTTTTGCATTTTGATGATGATGTGTCTTGGTGTGGGCCTCTTGGGGTTCATCTTGTTTGGGACTCTCTGTGCTTCCTGGACTTGTATGTCTGTTTCCTTCACCAAGTTAGGGGCGTTTTCTGCCATTATTGTTTGAAACAGGTTTTCAATTTCTTGTTCTCTTTCTTCTCCTTCTGGCACCCCCAAGATGCGAATGTTGGCACTCTTGAAGTTGTCCCAGAGGCTCCTTATACTATCCTCATTTTCTTGGATTCTTTTTTCTTTCTGCTGTTCTGATTGGGCGTTTTTTGCTTCCTTATATTTCAAATCAATGGTTTGCTTCTTGGATTTACGTACTCTACTATTGAATCTGTGTAAATTATTCTTTATTTCCGTTAGTGCCGCCTTCATTTCTGACTGTGCATCCATCATTTCTGACTGGTCCTTTTTTATACTCTTGAGGCCCTCACTAAGTTTGCTGAGGTTCTCACTAAGTTCTTTGAGCACCCTTATAAGCAGTATTTTGAACTCAGCATCTGTTAGGTTGCTTATCTCCATTTCGCTTAGTTCTTTACCTGGGGTTTTGTTCTGTTCTTTCATTTGGGACCTGTTTCTTTATCTCTTCATTTTGGCTGTTTCCCTGTGTTTGTTTCTATGTATTACTTAACTAGAGGTATGGGGCTATCTGAGACCAGATGCTGCTTGTTTGAAAGAATTTAGGAAAACCTGAAGCAGGATCCAAGACAGGCCAATCCTATGGTTAAGCAACTGGCAACAGCTTGGGTGGGCCTGAAAGTTGGATGGGGCGGGGCCCCAGGGTGGGGCTACCAGTGTGAGCCAAGTTGCTGGAGTCCCATATATGCCTTCTGTCTGCCGCCCCCGGGAAGGGCTCACCAAAGGAACAAAGGCCTCTGACAGCACGTCTGTCCTGGAGAAAGCCCCCTCTCCAGCCCTCGCTCCAGTGCCAAACAGCTCAGTTCTTCCCTGTATGTCTCTGGCGCCCCTCGAGCTGCCTCCCCTCCGAGCTTAGAGGGAGAGAGTCCGATAAGTCCGTGCGCGGGCCCTTTAGGGAGCTGCCTGGGGCCTCAGCCTCCCTGGACCTCAGTTCCCGCTGGTTTTTCCAGCCAGAAGTTATGGGGATTCTCTTCCAGGCACTGGAACCCTGAGCGGGGCACCTGGTGTGGGACGGGGACCCCTCAGTCAGGACCTTCCCAGCCAAGGTGTCCTCCTGATTTTTATGCACCACACGTGGGTGTGGGACCAGCCCGTCGCGCCTCCACCCCTCCTACCAGTCTGGATGTGGCTGCTGCTTTAATTCCGTAGTTGTAGGACTTCCATTCAGCTTGGTTTCAGGTGGTTTTGCATGATGATTGTTCTGTAGTTTAGTTGTAACTTTGATGTGGTTGTGGGAGGACGCGATACCACGTTCACCTACGCCACCATCTTGACCGGAAATCCCCATTTTTGTTTTTAATGGTTATATCATTAAAGATAGTGTTTTGTCTCTCATGGATATTCAATTATAGTAAGGAGCAATGATTTTCTAATTAACCTCAGGCTATGTCCACATAATGCCATAATACTCGGGTAAAAGTGAAAAAATGTACCCATATAATAGGTATTTTTTAGTACTTTATTATGTTCCAGGTCCAGATACTAAATCTTTTACATTTTTTTGTGTCTCTTAGTCCTTACAATTATCGTGTGAGATTGTTTTAAAGATAAGGAAACTAAGAGTTAGAGAGTTTAAGTAAACTCTCCAATTCCCAAAGACACATGCCGATAAGTGATAGAGGTGAGACTTGAATCTATGTCTGGGCTCTTAACCAGTCAGTGTCATGCTCAGGGTACTCAGGCTAAGTATATCAAGTGTAGAGCCATGTCAATAAACATCTAGTCAATTACTTGGACTTTTTAACGTCCCATGCAGATGTTTTAGGCCAGAAACATAACAGTACCTACATTTAGCTACTCTAACCTACATTTAGTTACCCTACATTTGGATACTCTAGCCATATTTATCTTTTTCAGCATCCTAATGTACATTCTCACTATTTCATTTCTAGGAGTAGATATTTCTGGAATACTATTTGCAATCACCAATCCTAACCTTTGAACAGGAATATAAGACATATTGGCTCAGATATGTAAAGAGGTTGTTGAAATGCTTGTTTCAGAATATACAGAACAAGAATTCTCCCAGGTGACCAAGAAACATGTTCCCACACTGTAGTAACCAACCGTCCCTGTTTACCCAGGACTAAGGGCTTTTCCTGGATGTGAGGCCTCTAGTGGTCAAACCAGGGAAAGTCCTGGGCAAATCTGAACGAGTTAAATCCCCTCCCCCACACACAGAGGCTGGATCCGGTAGCTCCACCCTTAGCACTTCTTAAGATTGCCATTTTAGGATGCACTTTTACCAAAATGTTTCATTCTCATATATATCTATTTGCGCTGAATTTTTTGTAGAGAGAGAGAGAAACAGTGATATAAGAGTGAAACATGGATTGGCTGCCTCCTGCACACCCTCTACTGGGGATGGAGCCCACAACCCGGGCGTGTGCCCTGACCTGGAATTGAACTGGGACCTCTCAGTCTGGGGGACAACATTCAGTCCACTGAGCCACACCAGCTGGGCTAAAATGTTTCACATTGATAAATATAATACTGCTGGGAGAAAGCAAGATGGGGACATCTCCAAGACTGGATAAAAAATGGAGAGATAAATATACTCCTTTTACATTAGTGGGTACAGGATAGTTAACATTTTAACAGTTACAGTAAATAAGGGCGGTATTCAGGCAAGATCAAGTGCTCCCAAGAGGGTGGTTGCACCTCTGAGGAGTCTGGAAAAGAAGATTAATCTGGCATTTCAAAGGTGTGTTCACCTAGATGCACAAGAACAATAGACAGGGCTTGCTTAAGGCAAACATAAACCTTTTGCTGAGGACGTTTTGGCCTGGGGCTTGACTACTTATCATGACCTGCCCAAATAGAAATTTATGATCAGATTACCTTGTGAGGTCACTTTTGTCTCTGAGCTTGTCAGATTTATCACATAGCTCTTCTTTTGTTCACAGGGGTGTGCAGCAGCTCTAAAAGATAAAAGTGTATAAGTGTACATTTCACTGTGATGTGTTGGACTGAGGACAACTGAGGACCTGCCCAAAGGTCTTTGTTTTGCAAACTGAGATGTGCAAGCTATGAGCTCTAGCAAAATCGGGTGGGATGATGAAAAGGATTTTATAAAGCTGTTTAGAGGATTTAGATGTAAGAACACAGCTAAGGAAAAGAACTTGGAAGAGAAACAGAGCTATCCAAAGGACACATTTGATTAAATTTTGCTATTTGGTGTGTGATTTAACCATGTTGTTTCTCTCCCCGCAATGTCTTAATTTAAATTTGCATTATTCGTTTACACTTTTTACCTTGGATTAATTTTTTCCACTTGACCTGACCTTTGGGTGTATGTAGAGTGAAAACTGAGTCTACATAATTGTGTCCACTGGAGTTGTACAGCTAACATTGAAGGGACCTAGGAATTCATACTCTGAAGAGTTTTAGCCAGTCAGTAACAGAATGTCCTACTGGAATTATTCCTCTTTTTTTTTTTTTTGCATTGAAGTAATATATGTAATTAATTTATGTAATGCCTTCTTATATTTAGGTCTCGGATGTGGTTTATTGTACACTGCAACAGTGACCATTACGTGCCAGTATTTCGACAGCCGCCGAGGCCTTGCACTTGGCCTGATTTCAACAGGTACATTTTCAAAATAAGTATGTCATTATCACTATTCAGCCTTCTAATCAGAGTTAAAAGTTATCAGACACAGATATGTTTAACCAACCACTCCCCAGCCACCACTCAGGTAGCACAATGTTTTGACTCTAGTTCTACAAGGAAATGTTATTATCCACTGGAAATACGGCGTAGCTTTCAGAAAAGCCTAAGGTACACGTATGAAAAACTAGGGCATTCGATGTCCAATATGTTGATGTAAGAAACGTCCAAACCTGTAGAGAGTTTCTTGAAGAGGTTATTTGAACCAAATTGATGACATATGCTGGGAAGCTCCTTTTTTTGCAGCTTCTTTTATGCATTTGAAGTTTTCCAGCTTCTTTTATGCGTTGAAATTAAGGAGGGAACGTAGGAAAGATTACATGGAGGTGGGTTAAAAGCAGGGCGTGGATCGGATCACAGGACAGTTCATCAAGATTATGTGCTCTCTGGAGGGTGGTTAACTCAAAGGTGTGTTCACCTAGATGCACAGCAACAGCGGACAGGGCTTGCTACGGCAAAATAAACCGTTTACTAAAAGTTATATGCCTGGGGAATGACCACCATGACCTTCCCAGTTAGGAATCTATGATCAGATCACCCTGTGAGAATCCTGTTTCTTGCTCTACAAATATTATACAGGAAAGAAAGCTTATGGGCCCAGTAAACTGAGAACCACTTGGTGGTGAGAACATTGCAGAAAGGAGCCGAGAGCCCACCTGTGAGGCACCTTATCCCTGAGAGATAGGAGACGGAATGGAAATGCGGACCCCTGAGGCCACCATCAGACCCGGAGGCTGATAGCTCTTGACCTCCATTTATTGTGAAACTTACGATTTCCATGACAAAGTGGAAAGGACTGATTTTTTTAATACATGTCACTGACCTGCGTGCAGGCTGTAATCAAGAGTTAATCACTGAGGGTGTGGGGAATATAAATATAAAAGTTTTGGGACTCTCTCTGATATTTTTAAGTGGTGTTTTACTTTTCAGATGAGTTTTTCCTAAGCTGTTTAGGGAATTCATCAGAATTCCTGTAGCCAATGTTTTGTGAGTTTGCTTAGGAGATAAAGCTGCCAAGTGTACTAAGAGTTGTACGTCTGCATAGCTGCTTGTGAATGGGGTGGGGGTAATCCTGAGAAGCCAGGCTTTCGGATAAGCGGGACAACTTCAGCAGTTTGCCTGACAACAGGATCCAAATGCATGTTTTCTTCCTGAGGCCCACCCAGTGGCAACACAGTGATCCCGGCCTGAACTGTGTCTAGCTGGGTACTTCTCCATAGTTGAAAGAAGCATCGCCAGCCGAGAAGTGCGAGGCATGGTCTAGGAGGAGGTAGGGCCAGAGTCTGAGGACATGGCGAAGTGGACATGGGAGAAGAGGTAGGAAAAACAAGAGGGAGAGTCCAGAGCAGTCGAAATGCAGTTTCAAGAACCCGACAGGATGTCCCACAAGTGTGGGAAGGAGTGTGCGAGTTTGCCTGGCAGCTTAAAGGACAACAGGTCTCACCTATACATATACTTCTGTATAATGTAGTAACAAGCACACACCCCGGAGCCTGTGTCACCTCCCCTGGCTGTCTGGTGATGGACAGGTCAGTTAACTGTTCTGTTAACTGTTAAGCCTCAGTTTTCTGAACTGCAAAATGGGAATAAAATCGTCCTTCTTACATCAGGTTATTGGGGATTTTAAAGGAGTGCTTGTGTAAGGCACATGGCCAGGGATCTAAAAGTGTCAGCCGTTATAGTTATGACCTAGAGTTCCCTGAATGTCCACATTGATTTGTGCTGAAGATGTCAAAAACTCTGCTGAGAGAGCGGCTCTTGCTTTTCACTCAGGCGAGGGAAGAGGCCATCAGGGCCTGGGCCACGCACACTGAAGCAGGAATGGAGCTCCTGGGGACAGTCACAGTGTGGCAGGATTAAGGAGCTTGCGCTTGCAACCCACAGGGAGCTGGGCGAGGCACACTAGGGAGAAGCATGAATCGACTTAGTCTGTTTGGGTTGCTGTATCCAAGTATCATAGAGTGGGTGGCTTATACACAATAGAAATATATTTCTTACAGTTCTGGGTGCTGGGAAGTCCAAGAACAAGGCATCAGCAAACGTGGTATCTGGTGAGGGCCCGTCTTCTGCTTCATACTTGGCCGTCATTTCACTGTGTCCTCACATGGCAGAGGGAGAGGGAGCTCTCCGGGGTCTCTTTTATAAGAGCACTAGTTCCGTTCATGGGGGCTCTGCCATCATGACCTAACCACCTCCCAAAGGCCACATCTCCTAGTACCATCACCTTAGGGCTAAGTTTCAGCCTATGAATTTGGGGGGACACAAACATTCAGTCTATAGCACCCAACTTCAGTGAAAGAGACTACAAGCAAAATATAACTCATAGTAGAATTTTTTTTTTTTTTATCCTCACCTGAGGACATTTTTCCATTTTTTGTACAGACAGAGTGGGAGGGAGAGAGAGGAAGAGAGAGAGAGGGAAACATCGATGTGAAAGGGACACATTGAGTAGCTGCCACCCGCACAACCGACCAGGGCCGGGGACAAACTGCAACCGAGGTACATGCCCTTAGCGGGAACCGAACCCGGGTCTCTCCGGACCGCAGGCGGACGCTCTAACCGCTGAGCCAAACTGGCCAGGGCTCATAGTAGAATTTTTTAAGTTGAAAAGAAACCAAGAGTAGAAATACTTGAAGTATGGTGACCTAGTTGAAAGAAAGGAACATGGGCATGAAATGAAGTTTCTGGGGACTTGATCTTGCTCCCGGAGGAACAGGGGTTGATAAACTGATGCTCATGGACCACGTCTGGCCTACTGCCTGCATTCAGATGGCTCACATGCTAAGAATGATTTTTGCATTTTTGTGTAGTTTTTAAACATCAAAAGAAGATCATTTCATGGCGTGGGAAAATTATGTGAAATTCAGATTTCAGTGCTCTTCAATAAAGTTTTATTGGAACACAACCACGCTCAGTTCTTTACAAACCTTCTCTGGCCCCTTTCATGCTTCAGGGGCAGACTGAGCATTTGCGACAGAAAATGTATGGCCTTCTGCAGCTTAAATGTTTACTCTCTGGCTTTTTATAGAAAAAGATTATTGACCCCTGGTTTTAATAGTTAATCAAAGTATGAGTGTCTCTCTTACTATCTCAGGTTCCCTGAACAGCAATTAATATTGTCCCTTTTTGTGATAATATATAATTTAGATATGTGTGGAAGCATCATTCATCCTTTATTTCACTTTACCCTTGACATGGATGATTTTTAAATTAGGGTTTTCTTCTTTTAAATTAAAAATTATAGTTTGCAGCTTACACCATTCCACAGGGAAGCTCGGAGTTACTCTTTATTGCCCTGAAAGAATTCCTGCATCTTTCTACGCTTTGGTGGCACTCTTGTGGGGTGTAGGCTGAAAACCTAGTGTCTAATGTGTGATTTATTGTGCTGAGTTGTCATAGACTTAATACATGAGAGGGATTCAATAAACTCCAGTGGAATTGACTGAATATGTCTTCCTTATATGTCGTGATGTTGAGAGCCAAACTTGGTTGGTGAGCAATGGAGAAGTTGCTTATTTTTCTTAATTTAAGGTCAAAATATAGAATTTGTAAAACACCAAGAGTACTGAATATTTAATGGTATGGCACTTTGTTAGACTCTGTACAAAGAAATGGTGTTAGATAAAAATGTGGGTTAATAGTGGATGGATGTTAATACAGATGTACATGGAATAGTGCTCTTTTCTATTCTTTCAGTTTGTTTCTGAAGTGCTTTTAACTTTTGAAATGTGTGCCATTTTTAAAAAGATAAGGGAAGGATTAAATTTGTCTACTTATTATTTTTCAATAGTTAGCAAAGAAGATACTATCTTACTAGCCACAAAAATGATATTATTTTAGCTGCCATTACATTAATGTGAGCTATTGATTAACATTTCATGCAAATAATTTGGGAGGGGGGTATTAAAAAGTTAACTTTAAAAATTTTAGAAAGGGACAACTGTGGTCTCAAAGCAAAACATTTTCTTACAAGTCTAAGATCGAATTTTTAATAAGATTTTTTTTTTTTTTTTTTTGCTGCACATGTGGAATCCTGTTGGGGTTATAAAATAATTTGGCTATAGATCATTTTAAAAGTGTGATCCACATAATTATCTATTTTTAGACAGATCTATTTCTCTCCTGCTTTTTCACGTGACGTTTTTCAATGTTAAAATACTCAATTTTTTAAAAGTTAAAATCAGAATCATATAAGAACACTGCAAGTTCACTGGGTTGATGTACCATGTCATTCCAGTGTGTTTAGTGTGATCTACGCTAAAAAATAACTGGAGTATTTAGAGTGTTATAAGCACGTGTAAACCAGGCATGCTTTGTGATTTTAATACCCTATCAAATTCCACCTTACTCTTTTCAGAGTTTAGTAATGTGAAGCATTTCTTCTGGTGATACAGCAGTGAATTTGAACTATCACATCATTATACATATCCCATAAAAATGAAAATATTTTCTTCATCTCAAAAAATAAAATATAAATATTTGTCTTTTCAAAGGGAGTAAATATATAGCATGGAGCCTGGCATATAATAAGTGCAAAAAAGTACCTGCATAAGGTATTTGTTAATAATATGGGCTCCAGGAGTCAGAATGATTGAGTATGACTCCAACTTATGCCAGTTATAGCTTTGTGACCTGTGGCAAATTTCTCAACTTTTCTAGCCCTAGGTCACTTCATGTGTAGGTTGGGAATAGTAATAGGATCTACACAATATGATCATTATCAAGGTTAAACAAGATTGTGCAATGTAAAGTGCTTAACACTGTCTGAACTACAAATGCTAATTCTTTTTTTTTTTTAATTTTTTTTTCTTTATTGATTTAGAAAGAGGAAAGGAGAATGAGAGACAAAGAGAAACATTGATGAGAGAGAACATTGACTGGCCGCCTCCTGCATGCCCCCCACTGGGGATTTGGCCCACAACCTGGGCATGTGCCCTGACCGGGAATCGAACTGGTGACCTCTTGGTGCATGAGTCGACACTCAACCACTGAGCCACACCGGCCGAGCACAAATACTAATTCTTAAAATAAATATTCTACCAGCTTTATTATTATTGTTATCGGTACCTTTCATATTCTTGCTGTGCTTTTTAGATGATGGCACACATGAGGGCCAGTGTAAAAAAAGAAACTGAATTGTGGTACTGGTAAGACTTGTCCTGAGAGCTCCTCGTTATAAGAGATTAAAATTGAACTGTTCCCATTTCCTTTGTAGGTTCAAGTGTCGGACTTTTTATATATGCTGCTCTGCAGAGGCTGCTGATTGAGCTCTACGGCCTGGATGGGTGCCTGCTGATTGTGGGTGCTTTAGCTTTAAATATATTAGCCTGTGGCAGTCTGATGAGACCCCTCCAGCCCTCTGATGGCCCTGTGCCTGAAAAAACAGCTCTGGAGAATGTACCAGATAGATACTCCACTTACAATGAAAAAGAAAAGAACCTGGAAGAAAACATAAACATTCTCGAGAAGAGCCCTTTAGCCAACGGTGACTGGAGACAGGAGAGCCTGCTTGGGAAAAACCCAACTACAACGGCCCGCACAAAAGAGACAGAAACGTACAAAAAGAAAGTTGCCGAACAGACATATTTTTGCAAACAGCTTGCCAAGAGGAAGTGGCAATTATATAAAAACTACTGTGGAGAAACTGTGGCTCTTTTCAAAAACAAAGTATTTTCAGCACTCTTTATTGCCATCTTTCTTTTTGACGTCGGAGGGTTTCCGCCTTCGTTACTTATGGAAGACGTAGCGAGGAGTTCAAATGTGAAAGAGGAAGAGTTCACTATGCCTCTGATTTCCATTATTGGCATTATGACGGCCGTGGGTAAACTCCTGTTAGGGATACTGGCTGACTTGAAGTGGGTTAATACCTTGTATCTTTACATAGCTACTTTAATACTCATGGGCCTGGCCTTGTGTGCAATTCCATTTGCCAAAAGTTATGTCATGTTGGCCATACTCTCTGGGATCCTAGGGTTTCTTACTGGTAATTGGTCCATTTTCCCTTATGTGACCACAAAGACTGTGGGAATTGAAAAGTTAGCCCACGCCTACGGGATATTAATGTTCTTCGCTGGACTTGGAAACAGCCTTGGACCACCAATTGTTGGTAAGACATTTTTCTTAAAGTTACCTGTTTTATTGTTCTTTGTGACTTCCCCAGACACAGATATTCAGATTGTGATAAGACCACAGATGTGTACGAAGTAAATCCTCATGGAATGTGTCATAATAATGATTTATCCAAAGTCACTTGACTGTAGTTGAAAAGCCAATATTCTTGCTCAGGGGTTTGTGCTTATTTTATTTTTATCTGGGAGGAGGAATCCCACATGCCTGCTTATTCATGCCCACATTTTTGACAACGTCTCCCTTTCGAATTCCCAGAAGGCCACTTGGAGAGTAGATGGAATGTATATTCGAATACTAACTGCATATAAAATTGATGAAACTAGAGGACGGGCTTCATATTCATACCATTTCTATCAAGCTCACTTTTTTTCTCCTCTCTTTCCAGGTTGGTTTTATGACTGGACCCAGACCTATGACATTGCATTTTTTTTCAGTGGCTTCTGCGTTCTGCTGGGAGGCTTCATTCTGCTGCTAGCATCCTTGCCCCCCTGGGAAACATGCAACAAGCAACTCCCCAAGCCAGCGCCAACGACCTTTCTATACAAAGTCGCCTCTAATGTTTAGAGCAATATTGGAAGGCAGTACAAGACTGTTTCTTCATAGCAAAATTTCACTGTGACTGACTCTGAATGATTTAAAAAAAAAAAAAAATCCTATTCTCTATGTAGCCTCTATCTCCTGTATTTTTTTCCTCTTTTTTTTTTCTTTTCCCAGGAAGTGGGACTATTCTGTTTTGCTATTATTCATGAGTTCTTGACATTGTAAACATGTTGGCCAGCCTCAGAGGACTTTCTCTGTGCAAAGAAATAATTTCTCTGCAAACTCCATTAGTTCCATTGCAAGGCACCCGGAGGGGGACTCTTCTGTTTTAAAACTGCAAGTAGCATGATGAGATATGTGTGACGGCCTCAAGGGACTGACTCCTCTCTTCTCCGTGTTAGACGAGCTAGTAAACAGAAGACTTTGAGCCAATCAAGACGTAAAAGTGGTTACTAAAATAGCATTAAGGATTGCAGTGGAGCAAACCGATCGTGTTTTAAAAAGACATTTTAAATCACAGTCACCAGTTTTCATTATTCTGTTTACTTACATTGGTGAAGCACCCACGTGCTTGGTGCTCACTGAGCATAAGGTGTTTGCTGAGATGCAGGCAATCTCCAAACGGAGGCGTAGCTCCTGCAGCCTCTCTTCGTGGCTGGCCGCTCTAACCTCGCTCCCTTTTCTGTCAGCATCCATTCAGCTGGTGTTTCCCAGGAAGTGCTGATTTTACCTGTTTCCAAATTGGAAATGCATATTTAAACCATTCCGTTCTGGCAAATGGGAAACATCCATTTGCTTTGGGCACAGTGAGGACGAATTGCAAGTCCTTGCATATCTTCTTGATTTCTTTGCTACTATCAGATTTTACCACTATCACATTTTACTTCAAGGGCAGAATTAAAAAGTGTGTGTGTGTGTGTGTGTGTGTGTGTGTGTGATATTCTGAGTTTGTGTGGGACATGGGAAAGGGAAAGGCAATAAGAAGTGGATGTCCTTATTCCACTTCATTTATTCTAAAGAAAAATGCTCTGGGAAGAAAGTAATTGTTTAATGAGTTAACGTTTTTCTAAAGAAATATTTTTAAAATTTTCGGATGCATCAGAATCCTCTACAGATCCTTTGAAAAATATACCAGCCTTAGAGACTTTAATTCTGTAGGTCTGTGGGCCAAGGATCTATATTTTTAACAGAATCTTCAAGCGATTCTGACAACACAGCCTGGGTTGAGAATGACTATCATAAAACTGGCAACACAGAAACATTTGTTCTCTTAACTAAAACAAACAAACAACATTGAGATGATGAGTTTTTATAAATAGCTAAGTGTGGTTCTGTTTTTTTTTTTTTTTAAAGTTTTTTTCTTTATTGATATTAGAGAGAGAGAAAGGGAGAACGAGAGAGATAGAAACATCAAGGAGAGAGAACATAGACTGGCTCCCTCCTGCATGCCCCCCACTGGGGATCAGGCCCACAACCTGAGCATGTGTCCTGACCCGGAATCGACCTGGCGACCTCGCGACCTCTTGGTGCATGGGTCGATGCTCAACCACTGAGCCACACCGGCCGGGCCCAAGTGTGGTTCTTTCAATAGGAGGCACTCTTCCCAATGTGCCAAAATTGTTTTTTCATTTCTTTTGAAATATGTAAGATTATTTCATACTTCTTGTTGCCTTTCTTCTAAGGCACCTAAAGCACTTTAGAAGCGTGAGTCCCCAACACCTCATCGAGGTGGGTAAATAATGCTTTTCTATGCAACCGGGAGTATGGGGAATTTCAAAACTGAATTAATCCTCCTCAGCCAGGACATAATGGAGCTCCAAAGTGCCTTGGACTTCTGCTGCGCACTCAGACTTCTGGAAAGTTTTCTGTACCTCATTTTGTAGTTACTGTTGAGGTTGCAAGATAAAATGAGTGACATTAAAAAAAATTAGGCTAAATGTTTTTGTTTTGAAAGTTTCTTTTTGCCAATATTATATTCAGGAAATTCAATAACCTGATTAAGTTTAACTTTTATGACGTCCCCACGTTCACCAATGTTGATAATTGTCCAAACGCATCTTTCCTATGTCTACTAACGTCACCCAATGTTTGCATTATCCATTGTCTAGTGAATGAATTTTAAGACACAATAAAGTATTTTTTGTTTGTTTTGCATCGGTGTGGTTGCTTTTTCTCTTCGTAGCCAGTTCCCTTCCCCACCCCCAATTACCTACAGTGACACCTCCCTGGAATGGCCATTGTCTTCCAAAAAGTTAATATGTCAGTCCTACAGAAGCCTTTTGAGGAAAAGGGGACAGATTCCTCTTCAAGATTCTTGGCAAGACCTCCTTGGGGAACGCCAACTCAAATCTCCTTTTGGAGTGAATTTTCTTTCTCCTAAACTCCGACGGACCCCACGAGACTTGCAACCAGGGGAGCAATGGGAAGTGGCAGCTCATCCCGGGCTAACCCCCTAACCCTGTCCTCAAGGCCCCCTTCCCTCTGACTCTCCAGTGAGCTGACAGCAGCCCCACCGTGGTTCAATGCTTTCCGGAGCCACCGCAGCCCAGCCCAGGCTCTCCTGTTGCTGCTTCTATCCTTTCGTTTACCTTTTGTGTGTGTGTGTGTGGTACGTGCCCTTAGCGGGAATCGAACCCGGGACTCTCTGGTCCGCAGGCCGACGTTCAACTGCTGAGCCAAACTGGCCAGGGCTGCTTCTTCTATCCTAAGCCCTCCCTTATTTCACTGTCCCCAGCTTTACTAAATGCACTCTCAAAAACATTTTTTTCTTAATGATGATCTCGTCAGTCATGAATGGAATTCTTTACTTGAAGCACATTCTATTTATCCCTACTAATAGCCCTATGAGATGGACATTATAATCCTCATTGTATGGTTCAAAACATAATTGCCATGGTGTGAACAACCTATACGAGTCATTTGCAAAAGCAAAATGAGAAAGGTTTGGTTTCTAATATGACTGGGAGGGTTGCTACTAGAGGCAGACTTTTAGTGTACAGAGATGTCATGTTTGTATAAATAATTAGTTATAACTTACCTATTTCTTAAGAATTAGCCTTTTAAAAACACACTTAATGAAATTATATTGATTAGAATACAATCTTTCTTTTGTGATTCAAAAGGTATTTTTTATTTTATTTTTTTATGTGCACCTAGCGGGAACCGAACCTGGGACTCTCTGGTCCACAGGCTGACACTCCAAGCACTGAGCCAAACTGGCCAGGGCTCAAAAGGTATTTCTTGACATTCCTAGTGCCTGGGGCTCAGCTGGAGAAAGGCGTGAACTAAGAAAGTTTGTTAGGGACCTTCTTCCCTGACTTTAAGACTCTCCTCTCCTCTCCTCCCTCTCCGTCTCCCTCTCCCTCTCCGTCTCCCTCTCCCTCTCCGTCTCCCTCTCCCTCTTCCTCTCCCCCTCCCTCTCCTCTCTCCTCCCCTCCCCGGAGCCAGTTGGTGATCTAATTTCCTCTAGGGTGACCCTGTTGTCAGGGGATAAGGTTTAGCTACCACCTTTTGAAGGCCCCATGAGGAACAATCCCCAAGAAGCAGGAGTTCCAGCACAGGGAGGTCGTGACCACATGGTGTCGGTCCTGTTGTGCTGGCTGGAAAGTCCCGTGACCTGAGACACCCTCAACTTCTAGCTGTCAGTATGGGATTGTCTTAACTCAGGCGCTCCAGGATACAGAGGGCGGTCTAATTTTAAGGAAAGAATATCTCATTTTTTTCTTTTACTTAGGAGTATTGTATTGAACAGGTAAAATACACAATATACACTTGCAGTACCAAACAACTTCCCTTTCATAGACAGTGATCTTGGGGCATTTTGTTCTACAGTGGATTGTGTCTGAAGGATGCCAGTTAATAAGAAGTCTCCTTGAATAAGGAGTTTAACCACAACCAGGTAAAATGATCAGGAATCTATGAATTCAAGGACAATATTTGGAGACACAGTATACATACTTGTTCAGGCTGTCATTTCAGGGTTCAAATTGTAGCCCAGCTGGGCGATTGTGAGCAAATCATTTAGCCTGTCAAAGCCTCAGTGTCCTCATTTGTCAAACATGTCATAGTGACATTGTGGCAATTAAATAAGGTAACCCATAGAGATGCCTGGCACATGCCCAATAAATATCAGCTATTAGGATTTTTGCTATTGTTCTTTAGTGTGTGGCTCCTCAGTACCTGAGGGAGGTGTCGGGTTCCTGGGCACAGGTGTGGGGCACAGGTTTGCACTGAAGGGCCTCATTTGGAAGAGCAATGAGCCTTCTGTGATCCCTGCCCTGTACACCTGTCACAGCTCTTGCCCTCCCCCAAGCACGTTCTTGTCAAATCTTTTATCCATAGACATTCATGACTCAGCACATGTTTTTCTGCCATTCAGAAGCTCTGACACAAAACACATGCTGTCCTCCCACAGACCAAATCGGATCCACTTTGTAACCTGAATTGCTATGGGAATCTGAAGTTTTATTTTTTTCCCTTAGGAACTCATCATTCATGGAAGACAGGCCTGAGGTTGCGCAGAAAACAAAATGCTCCTGTTTGTTTACTGAGCACTAATTGGCTTCAGCTTGGGGCCCTTACTCCTCTGCCCTCCCAGTACTTCTTTGAGAGGTACTCTTGAGGGAGTATCATTCCTCGCTAGGGCTTCTGGGACTCTATTCCCAGCAGGTCTCCAGGACATTAGTTGCTTTTCCTACATGCATTCCATGTCCTAAAAAATCATTTACTTATATTCTCTCTTCTTGCAAAAATGTTTAAATATTTATATATATTTTAAATGTTTAATCTGTTTTTTCTGAGTGATAGACTAAAGACTTTGGTAAACATCTGGGTTTTCTTTGGTTTGGTTTTGTTAATCCTCACACAAGGATATTTTCCTATTGATTTTTTAGAGAGAGTGGAAGGGAGAGGGGGAGAGAGAGAGAGAGAGAGAGAAACATCTCTCTGAGAGAATCACATCAATTAGTTGCTCCCTCAACGATCCTGACCAGGGTCAGGGATCGAACCTGCAACCGAGGTGTGTGTCCTTGACCAGAATCGAACCAGAGAACCTTCGGTCGGTAGGCTGAGCCAAGCCAGCCCAGGTAAAACAGCTGTTTTTTTTTTTTTTT